CCTTAACCCTGCAGAAACTCTAGCTACGAGAAAGTGACATTGAATTTAACTGAGCAGTACATACTGACCTTCTGCAAATGAAGTGAGCATTTTATGTTTTTCCTCACACAGCACTGCTGTAAACAAGTATAGGTACCATACCCTTTTAAAAGTAATTTTAATTATTTTTTGTATAGTTATAATTGTTAAATACCAATTTATGTATCCAATATATATAAATGTTAAATGTTCACATAAATGCTAAATACCAAAAGTCCAATTATTTGAGCATTCAAAAATGTAGAAATGTTAAATGCTCAATCACTGCACATGAACTAAAAGAATGACTAACAACTCACATTAAACTGTATGCCACTTTAGTTAATTTCGTATTGTATCAGTAATTCTCATGTTCTGATACAAGCCTTGGCCCTCACGATCTTTCATGCTAGCATTACATATTCCAGAGCTAGCAAATGTAATTTGGAATATGTTTTTCATACCTTTTTACAACTGAGCAATGGCTTTGGTTTGTAAGAAAAAGTGCAAAGCATAAATACGTATGTATGAAACACCGTTTCAGACTGGAAGCTATATTAAAACACTATGCTTAAAAAAACCCAAGGCATAAGTGCAAATAAAACAGTTTTTTACAATCCACACATTCAAAACAAAAGTAGATACAAATCTGTTTAATAGTATTCAGGTATAACACAGGATCAGTTGGAGAGACCACTGGGACACCCAGGTCTTGATGAGTGCTTTGCTACATGGCTTTAAAGACATGGCTGAGACTGTGAACATGACATGGATCAGTTAGGAGGGCTGCCAAGGTTGGAGGGACTCATGTTGTACTTTCTGCATCAAGAACTGTGGAAGAATTTCATCTGAAGATAGCCCAAGGAAACAATTTCTCAGTAGTAAATGTGGGACTGACAGAACTGCAGTTTTAGTAACAAGCAGTTAAATTTTCTTCTATTCTTTTATGCTCAAAGTAGCTCTTTGGGCTCTCAAATTCCAGATGGATAACTAAATAAAGAATGAGTCTTTCGCGGTAAGAAACTACTTCCTGAATTTCAAAACAAATGTCAGTAAAATTTTGTAGGATGCTTGATGTGAAGCACGAAGCCCCAGTGGTTTTACTGCAAATCACTCAAGGATTTTTGGTTATTCAACTAGCTCAAATGGCTGATTCGATTCAAAAATCAAAAAAATTTGCATTTGCTCAAAGGAGCAACAGCTGTAACTGCTGTTGCTGTCCTTGCAGTCCCACACAATGATGTTTAAAACAACAGAAATAAAAACAAACTAAAGTTTGGATTTGTACAATTTGTACAATTTCTGTGCCAGATCTGGCTGAGAGATGAAGGAGAAAACAGTCTGCTGGGAACAGAAGATGATGGTAAGTTAGTAATTATGTCTCTTGGTACCTGTTTTGTTTACTAATCAAAGTTCTAATTGCTATGCTTTATTTTAATTAACAATGTACTTATTTTAATTAGTTACTTTTCTTGCATACATTAGCATTGAGAGAAGCCACTGAGGATATGCATAATATGATGAAGAGTTTAAAGTTAAGCTTTTAACAGTTTCATAAGTGTTTAATAATGAGAAACAAAGCTGTTCTTCATCAGTGTGGCTACTACTTTTCCAAGGATTTCACCTCAGTGAAGAAATCAAAAAGTCTTTTTTTCTTTTAACTTAAAAAGTCAACAGATACCAAATATAATTAACACAGGCACCAAAAGTGCTAATGTAAGAAAATGACAGGTTTGATAGCAGTTAGATATGCTAAAATGTTCAAACTGGGTGCGTCTTTGAAATGTCCCAATGTGACAGCCACTCTCTTAAGAACTGATCCCAATGTTATTAGCAGTTACGTTTGAAACTCAGAACTGTATCTTCTTCCCTAACAGAGGCTGGGAAAAGGCAAACAATGTGAAAGAACTGAAGAACTCATTAATTCCTGGAAGGTATCAGGAGAAGTAACCTTTATGGAAGTGCTGTAATTAACAAGGGTATGTGCAGCAACTGCTCATCTTTTTCCTATGAACTGGTTTTGACAACTATGTTTACTTGCTCTGTGACCCAGGTAACAGGTTTGGTGTATAGGATAAAGTATAAATCCTCATGTTTTGGATAGAGCCCTGCCCAATGCTCCTGTGTGCAACCTAAGAAGGGCTGGTCTACATAGAACTAGTATTAGGATGTTATGCAACGGGTTAGAAAACTAGGTAGTAGTTCATTGTCAAAACGGCAAGTATCAATTGGGATTCTGCAGAGGCCTGTTCTGGGTGATATTACTTTAAGTTGTAAATGAAACAGAAAATATATTCATTAAACGTGAGGATAACAGCAAAATGGAAATGTCTGAAAAACACAGCAGTGGATCATTACAATTTTATTTCTTTTTTTTTTTTTTTAATCAGGATGTAATTCAATCAGGACAAACGCAAAATGCTACATTTGGTAGGAATAATCAGTTGTTCAAATAAAGAATGCAGTAAATATAGGAACAATTGTCAGCATTTTCAGAGAAGGGTAAGGCAGCTTTAATGGAAGACGTAGAATATGAGTCAATACTATTATGCTGCTTCATAAAGAGCAGTTACAATCGGTTATACAAAAAGGAGTTCTGGAGTAAGCCTGTCCTATCCAACCCAAACAAATGCTTAACTAGAGAACTATGACCAGGCTTGGTTTAGTTATCACATACTTGTTGGGGGGTTGGGGTGGAATTGGAGGAGGAAGGTTCACTGAAGATTCTGGAAAACAACTAAAATGACAAGATGTGTATGGAAAATGTGACTGATGAAAAAAACCTGATCATGAAGCCTAAAAATGCCTGAGGAAGGCACAGTGACGTAGTTTCCAGAAGCACAGAAAGTAACAGGGAAAACCAGCTGCTCCCCATTTTGCTGTGTACAGAAGATGTAAGTGATCCTTGCTACAGCTCTAAAGCATGGCTAAAGGACTACAACTGATTGCCCAAAAAAACTTGTACTTGTCAGACTATCATGTACCTGGTTCCATCTTTAGGTGGCAAGACATTAGGCTAATTTTTGAGGGTTCTTCCAACTTAGTATTCTGGTTGCCAATCCTGTACTTTGTAGAATCATCACAGAATGGTGATTTGGGTTGGAAGGGAGCTTAAAGCTCATCCAGTTCCAACCCCCTGCCATGGGTAGGGACACTTTCCACTAGAGCAGGTTGCTCTAAGCTCTGACCAGCCTGGCCGTGAACACTGCCAGTGATGGGGCAGCCACAGCTTCTCTGGGCACCCTGTGCCAGCACCTCAGCACCTTCACAGGGAAGAACTTCTGCCTAATGTCTAACCTAAATCTCCTCTCTGTCAGCTTAAGGCCATTCCTCCTTGCCCTTGTCCCTGCAGGCCCTTCTCTGGGCTTGCTCCAACAGGTCCCTACCTTTCTTATGATGGGGGTGCCAGATCTGGACACAGGACTGCAGGGGCAGGGTCTCATAAAAGCACAGTAGAGGGGAAAATTCCCTACCTCAACCTGCTGCTCATGCTGCTGGGGATGCAGCCCATGACACAGGGGGTTCCTGGGCTGCAAGGGCACACTGCTGTGTCATGTTGTTTCCCATTAACAAACACCCCCAAGTACTCCTCAGGCCTGCTTAGTCCAGTCTCCGCCCAGTCTGTATTTGTGCTTGGGATTGCCCTAACCCAGGTGTAGGACCTTGGACTTGGCCTTGATGAACTTCATGAGGTTTGCACTGGCCAACCTCTCCAAGCTTGTCAAGGTCTCTTCCCTCCTACGTCTTGACTGCACCACATAGCTTGGTATTGTTGACAAACTTGCTGAGGGTACACTCAATCCTACTGCAGATGCCGCCACTGCATGAAGAGTGTTTCAGGCAGAATACCTACCGCTGAATTACCACTGGAGGAGACAAAAAGTAAGTATCACAGAGTTGTAGCAGGGAGAGGAGGCAAAGTGAAATTCGGTCCTTACAAGATCTGCATTGATTTTAGTCTTGATTTGTTTTGGTCCCCTTCTGTCAGCTGAGTGCAACTCCAGCATCTTTCTTTTCTTCAGTAAAAGGTTATGCTGCAGTTACCACCAAACACAAGCTGGTATTTCAGTGCCTAAATGCTACTCCAGCACAGCAGCCAAATAATGTTAAGGATGTAATTATGAGAAGCTAAAATAAAAATCTAATAATTGGGTTTTCTAGAAAATCATAATTAGCTATTCAGGCCATACTTGGGAAACACTTGTTTGTAAAAAGGATGAATTTTCTAAAGTCATGGCCAATTTCAAGCATATTACAGAAGCTGTTTAATGTAAAAATCTGCCTGCTGCTCAGTTACAGCACAATTCATTGCAGTTGCCAGCAACATTTTTATCACACTTGCATCTGTTAGTGAAGGGGGGGTGAAGCACAAACTGCAAACACCCAGAAGAACAACTGAGTGGGGTTTTTTTTTCCACCTTATTCAATACTAACACTAGGGCATGTGATCCTGAGGGACACCAAATACTTTCAGCTCACACGTGCTACTCAGAAAAGACCAGCTATTTAAGGACCAGTAACTTATTTAATTCCAAACTGCACCTCAAATCCAGCCAAAGCCAATTTTGCTTTTAAAAACTTAACCATTTGGCAATGAGATCATGAACACTGTGAATACGCTTCTAGCTCACCAGCAATGAGGAAGTAAGGATTCACAGCACAAAGAATCCCATGTAAGGGGCACAAAGTATCCGATTGCCAAGGTGACTTCAAAAGGCTCGGCTACAGAGAAGCATTTTAGTCTTTATGAATACTCAACTCCACATTCCTTTCCTTAAGATTACTCCCTCTAGGAGCTGGGTGGGTGATGCTAACAAGGTGCTGAGGAGCAAATTCAGTACTGTTGCCTGTACACTGTCTTCCATAGCCTACAGAATCTCCTTGTGCGGAACGTTAAATTGAGCAAAGCTAACAAAACCCCATTAAATCTTCCTCTTCCCTCCATGAGCCCAACCAAAACAAAACAAGATTGTGAAAGCATGTGCCACCTTTTAGATTTTTATTGTGTTTTGTAAGTGCTTAAAGATACCACACAAGACTGTGCATTGTTTTCATATGTAGCATGCCACAGATAAACCTCTAAAAGTCTTCATATTCTAATTCAAAAACACAAAAAATAGATAAAATAGTATTACCTCATTATACAGAAGGCAAACCACAGAAAGTGTCTTAGGTCCCATAAAATAAAGGCAGAAAGTGAAACATAACTTCCAAAACTGTCTATTAAGTCCATTAAAAAAACCCCATGTTTTTGGCAGCTGTAAACCAAATTAATAGTTGTATTAATCTAGCTAGGGATTGTCAACTTAAGATGTTATGTAAAAATAATTTTCAATCAGTTCCTAATTCAGAGGAAATGCAAACTAAGAACTGGTATAAAGGGAATAAACAAAACCTTTTTTCCTTCTTTAACAGAAATTAATTGCCAGACTAATTTGTTATATATTACTCTTCTTTCTTTCATACACAGATGTGTATAAATTCATGAAGTAATTCTCAGATGATGAAGTTAAGTTGTCCAGATCATAATCAACTTCAAAGGTAGGTCTCCTTCTAAAAATTACAAGAGCAAGAAATACAGCAAAGTGGGCAGTAAGTCCCCATATCCTGAATGACATTTTATGTTCCGGATCATCATATGTAAAGGAGTGCATCCGACCGTGGTAACCAGATGAGGTTTTATAAGGCACAGTCTGGTAATTTAAGGGCTTGATAAAGTATTCCAGTGGTATAACAAAAACATTGCTCACTTCATCAGGATTAGGAGAGGGCTGGAACGTATCCTCTATAAATCCTACAACTGGTGTTACCAAGTAATTCATCTAAAAAGAAAAACAAAAAAATAACAAAAAAAAGCCAAACACTGAGTTTGTAAAAAGTAAAAGAATGTTCTTTATTTTAAAAACATTTCAGAATTATAAAATGAGTATAAGAAACCTAAAAGATACTCAGTTAAACATAAATAAACTCTATGCATTCTCTCTCATTAGTCTTCCTTATTTTGGTGATTTCTGATTTTAATTCAGATTTTCCAATTCATCTACGCTTTATCATATCTCAGTGTCTATTTTCCCAGTATATTTAGCTATATATGTAAACATTTTCTAACAGCTCATTTATAGACATTTTTATTTTAAATACAATCCCTTTTTCCATAGGGAGGCAAAATCTATTGAAATGATAGCCTGCACAAAGAGGGCACCACCAGTTTTAACATACATTGCTAGTTCTGCTTATTCTTACCAAAAAAGCATCACTGTTAAATAAAAAGCAGTAACACTCAACATTTGGGCTATATGATGCAAGTCTGGACACACTACACCCAAGTCAGAATCACTTGGAATGTACATACAGAGAAGAAAGTAAAATCTATAGGTAAAATTTCTGTGGTCCAAAACCACACATTTTTTTTCTATTAATTGAGGGAATTTGCTGGAAAACACTGAAGAGAGTTATAAAAAATTGATTCTTTTTACACATAGCCTCTGAACTATGTGGCTTTAATGTTATCTCTATAGAAATTACAATTGAAGGATTAAATAAAGCATATGCAGTACAATTTTAAAACTCTTTTGTTTTTTAATGGGGGAGAAGGATGTTACTGAGTAGCTACGACATACAAAACCAAGCCTTAGGCATATTAACAAAGAGAAACTGTTACCTGAAAAACAAAAATAAAGTCTTCTGAAACAGTAACCTCTCTGTACCATGGGATAACTGACCCCATGAAATATTGTTACTGAAACTGGCAGCTGGTCAATTTACAGTGACTTACACTCCAAAGACACCTTCAGAAGAGAAGTCTCCTCGCTAGAGTTCCATACAGAATAACAGTCCACATAACCTCCAGAAGTCCCTTTTCACCTGAATTAACCCTGCCTTTAGCAGGACATTGAACGAGAGGACTTTTGAGGTTACGTCAGGCTGCTGAGGGGCTTGTCTGGTTGAATTCTGCAAATCTCCAAGGATAGGGATTACAGAGCCCGACAGGAAAATCAGTTCCAGTTAAGCTAACCTTATGGTGAAGACAATTTTTCTTGCATCTCGTCAAAATCTTATTTGTTGTTGCCTGTGTCCACTGTTTCAAGAAGAGTTTGGTATTATCCTCTCTAAAACCACCAGGAGGTACTTGACGTGAGCAACTAGATCTGCCGCTACCTTTCGCATCTTCAGGCTGGGCAAACACACTTCTCTCAGCCTCTCCTCATACTCCACATGCTCCACCCCCCCTTACTTATCTCTGTGGCTCTTGGCTAAACTGTCACCAGCTTAGCACTCTTTCTGTGCTCTGGAGTGTGCATAACTGCACATGGTACACCAAACATGCTTTCATAAATACTAAACACAGAGCAAGAATCTCCACCCTTTTCTACTGGCAATGTGGGCTGTGCACCTTAAGAAGCAGTGGTTATTTACAGTTACAGGTTTTAAAAGGTCATTATCAACCCCATAAAAAATAACCCAAGCTTATTTTCTAACCATATGCTGACGTACTCAGTTTATTTCTTACTTTATCAATTCCAGGCACAAGCCTACAGATGACTTCCACCTTCTCTGGCTGGAGTCCCACTTCTTCCTTAGCTTCTCGAAGAGCAGTATCAATTTCATCTTTATCAGTTGCATCACTTTTACCTCCTGGAAAACACACTTCCCCTGGTGATCTTCTCAGCTAGAATTTAAAGGAGTACTACTGTTAATTATAACAAATTTACATTTCTTCTTGGATACACACAAATGCTTGATCTTACTGCAGATTCACTTTATGTTTATCAGTCAAAGCTGGGAGTGGTGGTGAAGAGGTTTCTGCAACCTGAAGAAATGTGCCTTATGAAGAGCTACACAAGAGAAAGCTGGGCTTATACCCAACTAATCCATAAACCCTCACTATCAGCATTACACATATCACTTGTGCAGTACTGTGTAATTCCTACTATACATTCTAAATCTAGACTTTTCATCATCCTGCTTGCATGAGAGACTGACAGATGAATCTAGGCAGACAACTTGAATACTGAGATTGAAGTACTTAAGTGAGAACTTCTAAAATGCACAATTAAATCATAGAATAATCTGGGGTGGAAAGGACCTTAAGATCATACAGTTCCAACCCCCCAGCCACAGTCAGTGATGCTTCACACCAGATCATGCTGCTGAAGCCTCTGTCCAAACTGCTCTTGAACACTGCTAAGCATGAAGCATTTATTGCTTCTTTGGGCAACCTGCGACAGTGCCTCACCACCCTTACAGTAAAGAACTTCTTCCTTATATCTATCCTGAACTTCCCTGTTCAAGTTTGAACCCATTACCTCTTGTCCTATCCCTTTAAATATATCATAGTAATAAGCCTGCATATCAAACATCAGTAAAAAGCCCCTTTACAATCAGTTTATCAGCAGAGTGACTGCAATTATTAGGGTCTTAAAATTTCTAAGACCCAAAAAACTTCCACTTTTCAGCCATAGAAAAACAGGCAAGTAAATAGCCCCTGGATAGAGGAAGCTGATCAGGGAGGGCGTGGGGAAAACGCTGTCAGAAATCTCCTGGGGACTTAGGTTGTTCCCTTTCACATGTGAACAGCAGAGAAGAGTAATAGCAAATGCAGACTGACAGTCACATTAACAAAAGCTGGACTGCATTGCGTTTAAGTCATAGGAAACAATAACTATTTCCTTTTCTGATCCAGAAGTCACCTTTTACTATCATACTCTTCTGAGTATCCTGCATTTTTGTGGCATCTAAATACCAGAATCATCAGCATAGAACCACAGAATAGTTAAAGTTGGAAAGGATCTTAAGATCACCCAGTTCCAACCCTCCTGCCATGGGCAGGGCCACCTCACACTAAACCATGCCACCCGAGGCTCTGTTCAACCTGGCCTTGAACACCGCCAGGGATGGACAATTCACAGCTTCCTTGGGCAACCTATTCCAGTGCCTCACCGCCCTCAAAGTAAAGAACTTTCTCCTTATATCCAATCTAAACTTCCCGTTTAAGTTTTAATCCATTAGGCCTTCTCCTATCACGACAGTCCCTGTATACTACAGCACAGGGAGCTTGCAACCTGCTTGTAACCCCAGGCACACTGCCTGGCATCAGAGAAGCAGATCCTGGCACATGAGGTGGGGCGGGACCCAAACCACACCGCGGGAGGCAGCACACAGGGAGTGAGACTCCGGCAGCCATCTCGCTCCCCGGCCCACCTACCTGCATGGAACGCACCGTGAGCAGCAGGTGCAGCTTCCCCGCCCTCACCATCAGCGGAAGGAGGACAGAGGCTCTGGCCAGCGGCAAGTGGGAGAACCTGTCCCTCACATCGAACTCCCTCAAGCGCATCCTGGCCTTCTCTTTGACACTGTTTCTAGGAGCAAACAGAAAGGACCGCCATGACACAGGGCAGGTGTCTGTCCGCAGCGCTGAACCCAACAGCCGCAGTGCCTAGGCCGCTGACACACAGCTCACCGCCCTTCCTCTACCCGGAGCTGCTTCTGGCGGACCCGGGCAGGGCTTGTAGCCGGCGGCAGCTCAGCCCGGCCGGCAGCGGAGGAAAGCCGTGGATGTCCGGTACCTTTCCAGCTCCCCATCCTGCTCCTCAGCCGCCATCTTTGTTACCCCCGACCCGAACGGAGACCTCCCGTTCCGCACCGCTTCCCGCCCAGCCGCCGTGACTGACGGCAGGTTCCGCCAATCAGCAAGCGGGGGTCCTTGATAGAGAGCTGAGCGCAGCGGGTGGCTTGTGAGGGGATGGTTCGGGGGAGTGGGACGCGGTGAGCACCGGCAGTTCCAGGTCGCAGGCTCCCCGGGTTGCATGAACCCGGAGAAGGGCGGCAGCAGCAACAGCAGCCCGCAGTCCTCCCTAAAACTGGGAGAAGCAGGAACCGTGGAGCGGTTTGGGATCGCGGCCCTCTCTCAGGGGATGTAGGTCGGTGGCAGCTGCGCTCCGGTGTGAGCCGGTCCCGTACCTTAGGTGAGGGGTCCGGTCATACCAGCAGCCGCGTGCTGCTTCTCACCTGCTTCAAGGGATGGATGAAGTGAGAGGTCACAGCCTCCAACTGCCGGGGGGCTATGGAAAGGGGCATGGCACGCCTTTGGGAGCCCGGTCACCTGCAGCCTGTAAGAGCTACAGGGCGTCAAAAGACTCTTCTTACAATGGAATAAAACCAAAACAAACCAAGGTCTCAGAGCTTATTTTAATCATTCAGTACAAGCAGGAAACAGTGTCAGAGGCTGCCTCCAGCTTGGTGTAGTTTCTGGGCAGTAAAATCGAGCTTCCAGTTCTTGTTACAGATGCACAAGTAGCAGAAGTAGTTTTCCTGCTGCACTGGTTTATCATATGGTTTTAACAGCTGGTAGTGTTGCCCACGTTTAAAGTGACACCACCATAGTACAATCAACATCGGATCCTGCAAAACCCAAGGCACAACACCCCAATTACATGGAATGTACAAGAACTAATTTCAGTCTAGCTACCTTAGTGTTTATTTTTTTAGATTTTTTTACTATGTTTACTTGTTTTTATTGCATTAAGGTAAAGAACCAAATGTGGTTTCCACTAGGTATGTGCTTTGTACAGTTGACTTGATTAACCTCAGGTCCTTAAATGCTTATTCAGCCTATTTGCTACAGAAGGAAATATTTGCACACACAAGCTCACATGTAAAAATAAGTGCAGTTTATATACAGTATGCCTAATGTGTTACGTAAGTTAAAACCCAAACATAATGGCATACACATGTACATGTCCTGGCCGTGTCCCAGTCTGCTGTAATTCCAGCAGACTATAATACCCATTTTATGGCTATTGCTCTGTCGAGGTTTCACTGGAACTTAGACAAAACTGATTCACCTTTAAAATGTTCTACATCATAAGAAAAAATATGTGGAATTGTATCTTAAGCAAATGTAGTTCTTCAGTGAAAAGAATGCAATTAGTAGATTACTTATTATTCAGATATCTTAGTGTTCCAGAAGACTGCTATCAGATCTTATACTTCTCTTTGGCTTTCTCTTTCAGAATGCAGATGTGCTAAAAAAAAAAAAAAAATTGAAAAAGTAGAACTTTAGTCAATCTTTACCTTCAAAGGAAATGCAAGAATGTCTTTCAGTCTTATTCCTAGCATTGTAAGCAAAGCACACAACAGTAACCTTTGAGAGGTTGGTTGCAGTTTACCACTTGCAGTAAAACTGAGGTGTTTAAATTACAGAAGAGCTTGGAAGCAATACTTAGATTTGTATATTCTGAATAGGTCAGGTCTGTTCAGTTATTTTATTCTTCATATCACTTTGCAATAGCATGGATCCAGTATGCCTTATTAAAAAGACTTTCAAGTGAAAAACTTTTGCACTTAACCAGATGTAAGAAGGTACTTTTGAAAACTAAGGAGGGAAAAAAAGATCAGCTCTTTTTGTCAGTTATGGTCCTTCCAAGTCTGCTACTCAGTGCAGCTTAAGGAGAATGTGATGGAACAAAGGAAATAAAGATATTAATGGACATCTTACATACAATAGGAAAACCTTCATGATAAGAAAACCTGTGTTCACACACAGCCATCTTAAAGAGCTGGCTAGAAAAGAGCAACACAGGATTTCACTAAGACAGACAAACATCAAATTAGAGCCAAATTACAGGTTACTTTCTTACCAGGTGGGGCTGGCAGACTGCATGCTGCCAGCCATTCTGGAGGATTCAGAATACTGTACAGCAGGGATGGGCCACAAGACTTGTAGAGTAGATCCAACCCTAACTATTCTATGATTCTATGATACATGGAAAGGTAAGGCATAGCAAGTTCTGCATTTACATTGAACTATCAGCTTGGCATGTTAGTAATGTTTTTGCCACTTTAATGGAACTTTCTAATGAGGTTTGAAGTTTTGTTAATGGCTGAGAAGCTAATATTCTTGCTTGTTACCTGAGGTAGCAGTCATATGTAACAGTTGAGGCACACATGTATGTACTCACGTTTAGATCTCTGAAGTACTCATTATAATCAAGTGCATATCCAACCACAAATTTGTCTGGAATTTCAAAGCCTATGTCTGCAGAAAATAGAATTATTTTTATACTGCAGTGGTGTAAATTGCTTTTAAGCACACAGTTTGTATTCAGCTCATACTTGAGCTGTTTAATACCTAACAAACATATCATCTTGCTTTCAAGGTACTTAGCATGATTCATTAAAAATCAGAGCCATAATTTGATGGCAAAAGTTAGAATCTGTACTGTCCTCATCACTTAGTAATACAATTAAAATGCTAGAGAATGTGTTTTAATAACAAAATAATTATTTAAAACCTACTTATGAAGTAGTCTTGGGAAAGGCAGACTCGTGAGTAAAAGTAGTTGCACCGAGAGTCTTCACTAAGGGTTTTCAGTTTGAAAACAAGGCAAGTTTAATGTAGAGTCAAAACAAATTCCTTGTAGGATCCAAGCCAAACAATATAATGTTTGGTTCTGTTTCTGGGACCTGGTAACAAACAGCCAAACCCATACTCAGACCAATGAGGATAAAAAAAGGTGGTGGTCATGAAGTTTCAGCATGGGATAGCTGGTTATCAGTTAGGAAATTGTATGTATTTTCTCCCCATTTCTTTTGGCCTTCCTGAAACTTATACGCCAATTGTCAGACTTCCTACATGAAGCGAGATATGGGACTGTATTTTGGACAACCAGAAAAACTCAATGCTTACAGTCTGGTCTGTAACCTGGATTTCTGTGTGTCCTTTTAACGAGGAGGCTGTAAGGCAAAGCAGAGAAGGTTATGTTTTTTAAAATATGTCTTGCTTTAAGATGTATACTTCACTTCTACCTCCCATCCCTATAAACTTCTATAATCATGCAGTTAAATTAAAACAATGAGATTGCAACAGGAAGAAGCAGTGTTCAGCCTTATAACTGAGGAATAAGTTAAGGCACTGATCGAGGTTCATTCTGAAGGTCCAAATTACTCCATTGTTTTATATTTAATTATTTTCCATTCTGTATCCAAAATCATTATCTCCTCATGTAGCAATGTATCAGCAAACTAGATTAGCACAGGCAGGTAAGCATGTTCAAGTGGCATTTAGATTTTAGCAGGGAGGGAGGGAGAAGAGGACAAGCTATGGATTTCTTCCACAAAGTCGTATCCATTCTTGCTTTGCCTAAGCACTTCTGAACAAACCGAGTATCTCCTGGACAGTCATTAAGAGAATCATAAATGGTACATCAAACAAGACGTGTATTTTCAAAGTATTGTTATTACTTGACAGACAGGTCTATTGCCCAAGAATTCCTTCTAGAGATTGTCTAAAAGCAGATCTAGTATGCCACTTGAAGTCATCTTGCAAGTGCTGACAAACTCTTAGATTCTCAAAACCAGTGTGACTGAGGAAATTAAGGAAAATTCTGAGTGTTGTCATTCTAGTATTGAGGCAACTGAAGTGTTAGGAAACCTATGGAAAAAGCTGATTTTTTTCAGACATGAGGAGGTAAGAAACAGGGAATCAATCACACTTTATGGACTATGCAAAAAGAGCCAGGAAACAGTTTTTTGTTCATTTTGAGAATGAAGGTGGTAGTAAATTTCCCAGTTTAATAAATACTTAGTTTTTTAGTTTTTCACCAGCTGCATTAAGATTACTTCCTGCTTTTACTTCCTCTTCCCCCAAACTCCAGACTAAATAAGACCAAGCAAATACCCACCAGCATACATTTGATTATTCACCTAAATGATTTTGCCATATCTTACATAACAATACATTAGTAAATGTCCATAACAATTATACCTTACAACTTTTACCATCTTTGGTTCATTGTCTTTTAGTTTTGAAAGTAGGGCTTTCATTGTTCTACCAGTCTCAATAATATCCTGAAAGAGAGACAAAAATAAATTGCCCTCTGAGACTGAAAGAAAAAACCATCTGTGAGTGGATTAATTTAAAGCCCCAAAACCAGTCAGCCACCCTGGCAGCAGAGTAACGTAATAAATTGTTTGTTTATATGCAGAAGGTATTAGCTTGCAAAACATGGGGGAAATGTGTTTTTCCCCACTATACCTTCCTTCCCTCCTTCTCCTCCCCACCCCCAGTCTTTACTTACCTCTACTACTAACACATTCTGGAAATGATCATGTAGGGAGAGAAAAAAAAAAGAAAAAAGGTATTTACATGGCAACAGTGAATTACAGTTTCAGCAGAAATTTGCACTACAAACCTCAGTTACAGAGTTTTCAAAGGAGCTTGTCACTTCAACTACTTTGGTTATTTTAGTGCTTTCTGAATAGTCTTTCAGCTGGTATTTATGAAAGCATAAAATATCTTGAGAAAGCCACCTATGTCAGGTTTTACATATTATTCTATGTATAGCAATAGCATTCTAGAACCATACTGCAAGAGTCAGTTTTAACAAAATGGTTCATTTCCAGGAGCTGTGGGATAAAATGGGAATAGAAGCATTCAGTATTGATCATGTTAAGTTTGCACTGAGACCAGTGGGAATTACTCAGTGTTTCAAAGGATGGCAATTTAAACCAGTGTGAAGTGGCTGCAAGTACGTAGTGTCAAAATTTTAATAAAGATGGACTTACTGGAAGATACACAGTAACTGTTCTTTCCCCATAAAAGCTGAATATGCTAATCATACCTTCCCG